TGCGGGGACAGGCGACACGTTAGACGCTCGCAGCAGAGGAAGAGGCACGACCCCCAGCAACACCATCCCTCGGCCACCCGCGCCGCACCGCGGGGTCGCCACAGCCCTTCGTCTAGTACGTTCCAGATAGGTGCTGTCCAATCGCAAGATGCAATTCGAAGCGTTCTAAGAACCGCGTTAAACAGAGAAACAGGTGGGATTCTTGTTAAATACACGTTTAAAAAACGTTCCTAGAGGGTGCCTGCCCTAGTGGGAGAAAGGAAAAGTGAGAAAGGAAACCTCCAAGCGCCAGCATTTGGCGTGGTGGTGAAGGCGCTGGGATCCCACATGGCGAACTCGCGGTTTGAGTCCCGGACCTGACAGCTTGAAAATCACGCCAATCACTCCTGGCACTGTGCGTGCCCAAAATATTGAAGGGATACTGCAGAAGAAGCGATTGCGTGTGCCCAACCCCTCTAAGGGGGTGATTTCTCACGTCCCTTCTCTATTTCTGTCTCCTGCAAGCACACGCACACATGCGCTGTGGCAAAAAAAAATTTTTAAAAGAAAGTAATCCCCATGAGGCATTGTCACTTCCCAACCCCTTTGCCTCCATTTCTTCTTTTGGGGAATGTAAGGACATTCAGTGTGTTTTTCAAGTCACCTGATCAGGACCCAAATACACTGCAGGCCATGTGGGATCCACCTTAACCACCACACCACTGGGGTACCCAAATATACTTAATACAACATATCTAAAATGTATTCTGTGTATAATAAATATCGAAAAGTACTGATTTTCTACACTGTCTCCAAAATGCAGTGTACATGGTTTACTTACAGCCAGTTTTAAGCCACATGTCAACCTCAATAACCACACCAGCTAGTGGCCACCTTATTGGACAAGCAGGGGTCTACAGGCCAGAGGGGCCCTAGGGTTAGGTGGCCCCACTCTGCCCTGACTTTTGCTTTCCTCTCAGTGGGCAGTGGGTGAGAATCACCCTGCTCTGTTTAGCAGCTTCATAACTAATCACCTCCCACTTATCAGATGCCTGAAATCAATGAGCTCCCTTGGCTTTATTTACCTTCATAATCTTTGTCCCCCTTTACAACCAAAAAGAATAGAAAGTTGGTCACATTAGCACCATTGATACATTTTTTTAAAATCAAGTGTGTGGGGGAGAGGGGAATCATTAACCTCTTTTGCTTTTAAAATAACAATAAAAATCAAATTCCGTGTGTCATATTGTTAGCCGACTCCCAAACACAAAGAAAAAGAATAATTTCAAGCCGATCTCTAGTGGATAACAGTTTTGGTGGCTGTTGTCAAAGACATTTGGTTTGTCTTTCCTTGGAGGTTCAGAAAAAACCCTCCCTCGGTTATATGAGGGGCCCAGTGCACTGGTTGAGTTTCGGGAGCTCCAAATCTGAGGGATCAGATTCTCCTGGTCAGGGCAAGGTACACTGCCCTGCTTCGGTGTGCTTTTCTAACGTGGCTGCTTTGGAGACATATCCTAGTAACCCTCAGGAATGCTAGATTTCTCTCGTGATCGACCCCTCTTCTCAAATTTGGAGGAGAAATATATCCCAGCCTTATAAGGCTGGTCGTAGCACAGAGCGAGAGAGACCCGGGGTTTGCCCAGAAAGCAGGAACCCGAGAGAGAGAGGACAGAAACCCAGGAGCTCGCCTCTTCAACTCCTCTTCAAGGGTGATCCTTTCCTGGGCACATCATCCTGATGTTCACTGACCCACTTTTAGTGGCACTGCAGGACATTTGGCTGTCTTGGTCTACACCCTGAAGCAGTCAGGTCTGGAGGAACCAGGCATACATCTCCTGCAGCTAGTCCTCAATCCTCACCTTCCACCCTTGGCCTGGGGTTGGTCCAATGAGCAAATCCTGGGCAGCCGGGGGCACCTCCACAAAGAACACCTACTTGCCCGCCACCGGGAGGAGAAGGCTAGATGGCCATTCTCGTCTCTGCTGTTGTTGAACTGGTGTGTACTAGGCAGGCACCTACTGTGTGCCCAAGTCCTGGGGTCAGCACATCACCTGCTTATGAGCCCATTTTACCAGTGAGGAGACCAAGGCCCACAGGGCTTGTTATTTGCCTTGGGTTGGTGAGTGACATCTGGGTCCCTAAGCCCATGTACTTCCATTGTTTTCTGCTTTTTGAGAACTGGCATGGGAAGAAAATCTTATTCATTTTGGGGTGGTATAGGAAGTAATCTTGCAAAATAAACATAGCTGGGCCATTCTTAGTGCATAGGGATGGTTTTGAAGTCACTTAGTTTCCCCTCAGAGGGAAGGAGGCCGGGGTGTTCGTGGAGGCTAAACTGGGGGTTTCCTTTGCCCTTTACACCTTCAGTGTCCAGGACACACACGGGCAGCCACCAGTCCTTCCTCACTGTCGTAAAGCACTTGCATCGAGGCAAAGCATAGCAAGTCCTACTGAGAGGCAGAAAAAGGAAGGTTTCCCTGGGCCTGAGGATTCTTTTTCCATTGCCACCCACCGCCACCACCACTGCGGCCTCTGGCGATTCCCGATCCTCCCACTTCCCGGCGTGCAAACACGACCCACCTTCGTAGTTTGGCACCAGGCTGTGCCGAGCAGTGTTCACTGGCGGCTCAGAAAGGTTTTTAGCTGGAGACGGGCTGCTAGGCACTAGGGGACTGGCATAATGCCACTGGCATTCGCCACTGGCTGGCAGTGTGCTCAGGAAAAAGCGTGCCACCTCACAAGGGGAGCCTTGGGGCTGCCCAAACTTGGCCGGCAACACTGGCTTTTTGGTGCTGAAGACGTGAGAGTCCAGAGGGAAGGGTCCGTAATGGTAGGAGAAGGGCAGGCTGTAGGACGGTGCGTACAAGAGGTCGCTGCTTTCTGAATGGAGCTGCTGTTCCGGGGGAGCGGGAGTGTTTGCGGGGGGACTGGCTCTCCAGTTTCCAAGCTGGCTGCATTCCAGTTTGTCCATTTGGAATGAGCTGTATTGCTGCATGGCAAAGAAGATGGATGAAGCGCCTGCCTGAGAGCTAGGAGCTCACTGCTGTCCGGCCCGAAAGATCTGATCCTACCAGGCCCACTCCATCCTGGGGTGGACATACCCCAGCCACTACTTCAAGGTCCCATGGGGGTAGGTGCATACCAAAGGCATCTCAGTGACCCACCCCGGGTGGGAAGACAGCCCGCAGCCCAAGCCAATGAGCTCACAAACTACTTGAAACAAAGACAGGGCAGCCCTGTGGCCTAGTGGTGAAGAGAGTCAGATCCTACATGGCTGAGTACATGATTCAAATCCCAGCCCTGACAGCTTGAAAAACACACCAGGCATGTGTGCACGTGTGCCCCAAACCCCCACAGGATGGAGAAATGGAGGAGACGGGATTGCAGTGTGACCATGACCCATGAGGAGTGCTTTCTCACTGGCTCTCTCTCTCTCTAGTGAGCACATGCACCTTCTGGCAATTTTTGTTTTCAAGGCAAGTTTTCCTTTAGAAAACACTATGACTCAGGATTAGCAGTTGGCATAATGGCTATGTCACTAGATTCCCATGCAGTTGACTATGGTTCAAGTCCCTGATCTGGTGAATTAAACTCATGCTGGGCGCCTGTGCGTGCGTGCCCAAGATCCCGAGAGGAGAATGGAGGAGAAGGGATTGTGGTGTGGCCATCCCCCCAGGGAGTGATTTCTTGCTTTCTGTCTCTCTGTCTCTCTCTCTCTCTGGTGAGTGCATGTACCCTACAGCAAAAACCTCTCAAAAACAAACAAACAAACAAAATTACTATGACTCGTGATGTGTTCTAACCCCAGTGTACATGGATCCCATGGGGCAACTTCCCAATCTCGTCTTCTTTTTCCTAGACTTGACTAGTCCACCTGGTCATCTGCTCTGCCAGTGTAGGAAGGCCATCCGAGGGACCTCGCTTGGCTCTACAGACACCCTCCTATGCGGCCAGAGATCCCTCATTCCTAGGTATGTCTAGGCGTCTGAGGCACCCCCACCCCAGAGATGCCAGCTGTCATGTTACCTGTGGGGGGTAAGGGTTTGTTCTCGGCTTCGTCCTCATCTTCGTGTTTTTGGGTTTAGCTAACTTCCTAGTTTCTTGTGAGGTAGACAAGGCGGTCCTCCAGGAGTCCTGGGACTTGGAAGTGGACACCTGGTCCAGGGACAACTGAAGTTCCTTGTATTCAATATCCCTGGAAAGCGAGAGTGGGACGAGTCAAGTCCAGCAGACAAAGGAGAGTGGCTTCCCGGGCACCATCCCAAGCAAGTTTCCTCTCAAGGTCCCAAGGCATCACTCCCTGAGGCTGGCTATGGGTGGGATTTGAAAAAAAGACCGCTCCCCCTGGTTATAAATGCTACCTGCGGCCCTAGCCCAGTGCCCCCACAGAACTAAAGGAGTTTGGTGTTACGTGGCAGGAGGGAGGGGAGCCAGTGAGGCTCTCTCTAGTCCCAGAAGCCCCAGACACATTTTTCTGAGGACACCACGGCCACTAGGAAGGCTGCTGAAGCAGAAAGGACAGGAGAGAAATACCGTGTGCTAAGTCTCCCCTCATCCTGTTTGGACTTCTGAGGCTCAACTTTTCTATTTAACACAGGGCAGGGGTTTGAGGGTCCAGCGGCTTGGCTTCCAGCCTCTTCCATTTTCCCAGCAGGGGCTCGTCCCTGTACATGCAAGTCACTTGGCATGGTCATGTGCACGGAAGGAGAGGTCACCCCAGAGTACCAGCCCACACCTCGTTGCTCAAGAATAACCATGCAGGGGCCAAAGTGTTTTCTCCCTGCAATTCGGATTTAATATGTAAAAGCCACGATGAGCAGAGTATGCCAGGGGACTTCTAAAAGTTCATGGAAAAATAGGATTACAGTAAGTTTAGTTTGGTGCAAAACAATTTTGAAATGCATGTATAGTTTTTTTCATAATATGCTTTTTCCATGAACTTTTAAAAAACTTCCTCATATATGGTCCCAGGTAGACTTATGTCCTATTGCTTCTAATGGTCTTAAAAGTATTTGTGACTAGGACCAGCAGTTAGTGTAATGGCTATGTCGCTGAACTCCCATGTAGTCAACCGTGGTTCGAGTCCCGGACACAGTGGCTTAAACTCACGCTGGGCGTGCATGCGTGTGTGCCCAAGATCCCGAGAGGAGAATGGAGGAGAAGGGATTGCAGCGTGACCATCCCCCTGGGGGGCGATTTCTCACTTTCTGTCTCTCTGTCTCTCTCTGTCTTTCTGGCAAGTGCACAAGCCCTATAGCAAAAAAAAAAAATCTCTCAAAAAAAAAAGTATTTGTGACTGAACTTGACCTTCTGGGGCTTTTAAGGGGCCAAATATTCACCATCATTTGCAACAAGTTATAAAGGGAGACAAAAAAAAGAAAAGGGAGATTTCCTCTCTCCCAAGCAGCAGGTGCATGTGAGATGATTCGAATGGCAGTGCACACAGGTAGAGAACTCTGAATTCCTGCCTTCTTCCACCCTGTTCAAGATGAAGGGAACCCCTTTCCCTCTGCCCACCCATGCCTCACCTGGACCCTATGGTGGGATCTGGAGCTACCCCGCTGCGCCCCAGCCAGGGCTCCCCATTCTGTGTTCCCACTGCTTCCTGTGCCCTCGCCTGAGCATAGAAAAAGCTTGGACCTTCCCAAACAACTGGATTGTTCAAATAAAAACAAAACAGGAGACAAATGAACAGTTTTAGAAAGACAGAGAGAAAGAGAGAGAGATGGTGCTTGTTGGAGCGATCCAATGAGGGGCGGGGAGAAGGAGAGAAACAAATACGTCTGACTTACGTGAGGACATAATTGACACTCACGATGCAGTGGGGCCGGGAGGAGCGGCTGTTGTGCACGACGGTGGCGTAGCTCTGCACCCACACCCAGCCGCCCATCTTGGAGAGCAGCCGGTAGTACTTGGTGGTCACCTGGCCCTTCACCAGCACTGCAAGCACAAGGCCACATGAGTCGTTGGACACTGCCCAGGCCCCACCTCTAGGGATGCTGGCGCCACCCATGGCATGTCCTTGGCTCTGAACCTTTCTGGGGCCAAGGACACCTCTGAGAATGTGGCAAAGAGAGGGCTTTCTGTGCAGGAAGTTTCACTTTTAAACATACACACACACACACACACACACATGCATGAACGAATTTTGCAAAAGGCTGGCTTCATATCACAGTGTTAATGTGCTACTCAAGAGAAGCTGGGGGCAGGCTCCATGGCCTGGTGATTACGGCATCCAGTCCATGAGTAGTTCAAGCCCCAGACCCAAAGGCTTGAGAATTATGCCGAGTGGGTGTGTCTGGTTGTGTATATCCAAAACCCCAAAGGGAGGGAGAGATGGAGGAGAAGGGATTGAAGTGTGACCATTTCTCATGGGCAGTGCTTTCTCTCTTTCTCTTTCTCTCTGGTGAGTGCACGTGCTCTCTGCCAAAAGAGGGAGAGAGAAAGGCAGAATTCTTGTCCCTGTAGCCTGAGATACTCGAGCACTGTGCTAGCACCCAGGCTCCAAGGCCTGGAGGAATGGAGGAAGGGAATCCTGCTGTGGCCAGACCCCGGGGAGGGTGCCTCTCTCTCTCTCTCTCTCTCTCTCTCTCTCACACACACACACACGCACACACACACAGAGTGTTCACCCATGTGTGCTCTATCATGAATAAGGAAAAAAGTTTTTTTGAAAAAGAATTCTGCTACGACTTTAAAGCAAACCAATCCCTCCCCTCCCTGGCTAAGGACTCTAATTTAACAGTCACCACTTTCATTGAGGGGACAATTAGCCCCCAAACAAGATTTGTCCCTGGCAGAGCCATAAAATTGGATTTGCATTTTAGTTTCCAAAAAGGCCACAATTATATTTTAATCCCCTAAAGCCTTAATGGGCAGAGAGAGTGAGTGATGTAGTTATTCAAACAAAAATAGTAAGCTAAGTGTCAGACTGCCGCTAGGATTTGCTGTTCTCCGGAACATGTGTGCATTCACAGGGAAACCACTATTGCCGTTTGTATTTTCTTCCCATTAAGCCCAGTTTTCCTTAGGCCCACTGAGTTCCTAAGTGGCTCGTGCAGGAAGGACTCTGCGTGGCTCCGAGTTCCTGAAAATTGGGCCTGTGGGCCCGTCTTCTATGCATGGGTGCAGGCTGGGGCTGCCTAGCAGCTCACCAGGGCTCTCAGTGCACCCATAAACCAAGATTCCTCCTGTTGGCCTTGGAGGAGGCGGGCAGGGTGGGCTGGGCTGGCGGGGAGGAAAGCGCCAGAACCTGCTGTGAGCAATGGAGGGAGGAAGCCAAGTTAACCTTCTGGGAGGTGGGGGCCAGCGCAAGTCTGAAAAGCCTCCTCTGGCCCAATTCCCTCTCCAGGACTCCAGGACGTCCCTGCTCCTGGAGGAGACTAGCAGAGGCAAGAGGAGGGATTCCAGGCGGTGGCAAAGGGGAGGAGACTGTGACTGTGCTAGCTGGCGCTGAAGGATGCCCCACCACAAGGCTCTTATGCAAGAAGAATCCAACCTTGTATTGGACCAAGAGGCACCGCCCACACACACACACCCAGACCCTGCCCAGACTCCCTGGGCTCCCCATTGTCTTTTCTGACTTTTTTCACTTCGCAGCTGCCTCTTCATCATCCACTGCAATAACCTCATCAAAATATCTGGGCTCATGGGCTGGCCCCATAGCCCAATGGTTAAGGTAAGTGGGTCCCATATGACTGACGGTGGTTCAAATCCCAGCCCCAGCAGCTTGAAAAACACACTGTGCATGTGCATGTGTGCCCCAGATCCCATCAGGATGGAGAAATGGAGGGACCAGCAGTTGGTGTAATGGCTATGTCGCTGGACTCCCATGTAGCCAACTGCGGTTCAAGTCCTGGACCTGGTGGCTTAAACTCATGCCGAGTGTGTGTGCGTGTGTGCCCAGGATCCTGAGGGAGAATGGTAGAAAAGGGATTGCGGTGTGGGCATCCCCCCTGGGGGGTGATTTCTCGCCTTCTGCCTCTCTGTCTCTGTCTGTCTTTCTGGCAAGAGCACACACCCTATAGCAAAAACCTCTCAAAAAAAAAAAAAAAAAAGAGAGAAAAATGATGGAGAAATAGAGAAGTAAGGGACTGCAGCCTGACCACGCCCCTTTCGAAAAGTGTTCTCTCCTCCCTTTTAATCTCTGTCTCTCTCTCTCTCTCTGGCAAATGCACACACCCTCTGGCAGCACACATACTTTTTTTTAAGGTGAATTTTATATTATGTAAATTTTATTTTTTAAAAAATGACCACGTAGAGAGAGCCTTTTTTTTTAGGTTTTTGCCATCGGGGAGGGAAACTGAGATATCGCCCCCCACAGGGAATGGCCATGCTGCAGTCCCCCCTCCTCCATTCCCCTCCTGGGATTTTGGGCACACATGCACATGTACCTAATGTGATTTTCAAGCTGCCAGGTCCAGGACTTGAACTGCAGTCAGCCATATGAGAGTCCAGCACCTTAACCATCCTGTTACCTGCTAGTCCCAGAAAGAGGCATTTTAATGTGCTGATGGGTGTGTGAATTGGCATGCTTCTCTGGAAAGCAATCTAATGGTTCATACCCATTGACACATTGATTTCACATCTAGGAATTAATCTGATGGAAGTTACAAGGAACACAACATAGACTGAGGCACAAAGATATTTACTGCGGTCCTGTTTAAAATCCAGGGGAGAAAAAGAGGGAGATTTAACTGTTCAACAGGATGGGAAAAGGTAACTTGTGAAGGACCATGCAGCCATGAAAACGATGATTAGTGAGGCTAGCACGTAGCATGGTGGTTGAGGCGCTGGACTCCCATGTGGCCGACCGTGGTTTGAGTCCTGGACCTGGCAGCCCATGCTTTTGTTTTTCCTCTCTCTCTCCATCTCTCTCTGGTAAGCACATGTGCCCTATGGCAAACTAAAAATAATATGAATAAAGTTAAATAATTCTCTTTTAAAAAACAGATGATTAATAAGAATTTGTAGGGGACCAGCAGGTAACATAGTGGTTGGGGCACTGGACTCCCACATGGCCGAATGCAGTTCAAGTCCCAGACCTGGTGGCTTGCTTTCTGACTTTCCTTCTCTCTCTGTCTGTCTCTCTCCAGTGAGCACACATATCCTATAGCAAATTAAATAATAATAGGAATAAATAAAATTAAATAATTATTTAAAGATAAATAAGTAAATAAAAATTTGTAATATCACAGGGAATGTGTATTATTCAACATTAAATGAGAAAAAGATCTAGAAATGTGTAGAGTATAACTCAAATTACAAAAAAGTGGGGCCAGCCTGGTGGTTAAGAAAGCCGAATCCCACTTGGTCAACTACACACACAGACACACACACAAGCTGCTAACCTCTTGCCTCAGTTTCCTCATTTATAAAAAGGGGAGAAGCATAGTCCTCACATGGTGTGGTTGTGAAGATCAGAAAAATCTATGTGAGGATTCAGAAGAGTGACAGACACGAATGAAGTACTCAATACATGGGACCTTCCAAAAGTTCATGGTAAAAACCGGAATTAAGGTACAAATTTAGGGCCTGCCTGTAACCTGGTGGTTAGGGCAGCCAGATTCCAGATGGCCCACTGTGGTTCACCTGGACCTGGCGGCTTGATAAAGATACAAGGCACATGTGCATGTGTGCCCAAAATCCCCAAAGGAGGGCGAAATGGAGGAAAAGGGACTGGGGCATGACCATCCCTCACGGGCCATGCTGTCTCATTCTCTCTAAGAAAAACACACGGTGTCTATTTCCAGGTCATTTCCTGTGCATTGCCTCATTTGACCTCTGCTACTCCATGGGAGCTGGGCGTCATTGGGAAACTGGGGTTAATGAAGCTTAGGAAGAGGGGACAGCAGCCCTCTGAAGATTCTCTGTAGCCACACGTGGTGTGTCGCTGGACCTGCCTTTTAGGGGAGACTCAGACGATTGGTTTATGGCCCCAAACTAACCAAGAGATGTGACATGATCAAACTGATGTCCTAGTTTTCAAAGAGGAAAATTCCTTGAACTGAAATGCCTGTTAATTTCTCTAGCTCTGAAATCCATTCCTAACAGTGTTTGAAAAACCCCTAAGAATATGGCCATATGAGTGGACTACAGAAAGTTTGCAGAAAAAGAGAATTAAAGTACAAGTTTATTTTGGTGAAAAAAAAAAAAAACATGTATAGTTTTTTAAATTAGTATATGCATTTTGCATGAACTTTTTGAAGACCCCTCAAATATTTTTTCTTTCTTTTCTCTTATACTTTATATTATTTATTGCAGCATTCCTAAAACCTACCCATAATCATTTTAAATTTGATAAATTGAAATCAGTTTACACCAAATATTTTGTATTATACATTGAGTCACAGAAATTAGAGAGATTTTACTATCTCTGATGCTACCTGACTCTGCTATGATAAGTGAGGCTTAGAAATAGAACAAACAGGGGCCAGCAGTTGGCATAATAGCTATGTCACTGGACTTTTATGTAGTCGACAGCGGTTCGAGTCCCAGACCCGGGGGCTTAAATTCATGCCCGGCGTGTGTGTGTGTGCATGCCCAAGATCCCGAGAGGAGAGTGGAGGAGAGGGATTGCGGCATGGCCATCCCCCCCGGGGGGTGATTTCTTGCTTTCTGTCTTTCTTTCCGGCGAGTGCATGCGCTCTATAGCCAAAAAAAAAAAAGACCTCTCCAAAAAAAACCCAAAAAACAAAAAACAAAAACAAAAAAGATATAGAACAGGCAAATATTCTATGTATGGTATTTTTCTCTTGCTCCTCTATGATCCATGGCAGTCCACAGCCAATCCAAGTTGAATCCTGGAGACTTAGTCACAACATAGTTTGATTTGCTCCATTTCTCCCTCTAGTCTGTTGTCCTTAATTAGCTGCCCCAAACTCCCTCAGGCTAGACAGAGATGAGTAAGGCCCTTCTTATGGTGGTGATGAATAGGATCAAGGAAGAGATGTCCCCGAAACCACAATCTTGGGGCCCCTACATCAGGTACCTCTTTGCCATCATGGCCTCAGATGTCCCCATACCCTCTCAAAATTCATATGGTGAAGCCCTAATGCCCAGTTCTTCAGAATGCGACTAAATTTGGAGATGGGCTCTTTCAAGAGGTGACTAACGTAAAGTGAGGTCCAGAGGGTGGCCCTAACCCAATCTGACTGGCGTCTTTATAAGAAGAGGAGATTGGGACACAGACACATACTGAAGCACAGCCATGTGAGGACACGGGGAGAAGACGCCCTCGCAAGCCAAGAGAGGGGCTTCAGAGGGGCTGAGGCTGCCACACCTTGACCTCAGACATCCAGCCTCCAGCCGCAGGACCGTACATGTCTGTTGTTTAAGCCACGGGGCCTGTGCCACCTCGTATGGCCTTCTGGGCATGCCTCCAGGCCCCACAAGGATTGCAACAGCATAAGAGAGAAGCATCATCTGGAACAGCACTGGGTCCCTTGGGTGGAGCTCTACAGCGTAGGGCTCTACAGGCCAAGCAGCAGCCGCTCACGCCTCCTGAAGAGCGGCGGCAACACCCCGATCTGCACCACTGGCAGCAAGCCAGGAGTGGGGGTGGACTGGGCAGTGGCCAGTGGTCAGCACCCCTTTATGGCTTCTTCTCCCTGCTCGCTTCTCACTCCTCTACCTATCTTGCAGTCAGCGTCCAAATAAACCACTGTATTTGAACTCTGGCCTCAGGGTCAGCTGTGGGAGCTAAGGAAACTAAGCAGATGCTAATCAGTCCTGGGGATGGAGGTCGGGACAGAAGCCTGGAGTTGGCCCCGCGGGCCCCGGCTCTGTGCCGTGGCAAGAGAGTGGGCCTTCTGGGGCCACCACACCACAGAGAGGTTTCAAGGTCATCAAAGCACTACCTCATGAAGACCCCACCTCCAGAAACCATGCCCTGGTTGTGGACTCCATAGAGGGCTCAGTGTCTCGGCCCCTCTGAGGGGTGCTGCTCAGATCTGTAGGTGAGTGGGAGACCAAGCACCCTGCCCCAGGGGAAGAGGTTTGACTGCGAATCACCCTCATCTGAGAAGAGTCCTTGCTGCCGCTGCCTCCACGTACATCCAGAAAAGCTGTCAGAGGGGAAACAGGCAAAGTGGGGACTTCTGTGGGTCCTGAAGCCACACCCCGCCCCAGCCTGATTGGGGTACGCTCTGTCCCTCTTGTCTCTGCAACGGTTTCTCAGCTACAACTAAGGTCAGAGCCACAGAACAGCAGCAATCATTGTCAGAATTGCTATTTTCTCTTGTCTTTGATTTACCAATTCCAGCCCATTTGGAAGAGAAAGCTGTGCTCTAATTTTTAACGTTCCCACCTTTTCTGTGTCTTTTGGAAGCCTGGGTATGTTTTTCTTTTTAGAGGACTCTGGGATAACAGCAATACCTGAAATTACAAACTTGCAATGAGATAAGGTAGATTTAACATGTAATCTTAGGAGAGCTTTCAAACTAACTGCCCTTGCAGGTTGGGCAAGCCAGATGCGCTGGAAGTCGGGGCTCCTGAGGAGCTGAGACTAGTCCATACTGCAGTTTTAAGATCTGCTGGCTGATAGAAACTGCTGAAGGCTCAGGAGCCAGATGGGCTGGCCTCGCATACTGCCAGGCCTCAGCGGCTGCCCTTGCATGAATCACTTGGTCTCTGTCTCACACTGCTCACCTGGGAAATGGATGATGAGTGACCAGATGCCCTCACCGCCCAAAGGTCAGAACCGGCTTGTGGAACATATCCGTCCATGTCGGGGACGCAGAAGCCACTCGACCAGAACTTCACTTTGCTCTGGTCTTCACGACCTTTGCAAAACATGAGCTCTATCCTTTCCTCAGGAAAAAGCCCTGCTCCCTCCAATAGCCAGGTGGGGTACAGTAAAATAAATGGCATTGAATGAAGACATTAAACTCCATCACTATTGTTTCTCTGCCTAGTTTGCTGCTTTTCACTCCCGCTTTGAAGAGCAACCCTTCTCTTCACTGTAAGTCAAGCGTTTGCTTTAAACCCCCTTGCAGGAGATCAGAAGCTCCCTAACATGCTATGGAGTCCCTATAGGGGGGTTTCAGAAGCCCCAGGGCTGGGCTGTCCCTCAGAGCAGCTGTCTGCACCCAACCACAGCACGGACGTGTGTGTGGTAGGAGGTGGGCCCTTGGCTTCACTGTCTGCGTCCCAGTATCCACCCCGACTGTCGTACTGCACACGGCACTCACTGCCTTGCTCTTGCCACGCACATGCAACTTCCACCTCCCAGCTGCCTAACTCACCAGAGCCATGCTCCTCCGCACGCTTTCTGCTCGCTCAGTTCTCCCACGGGGCTCATTCTTTAATAGACACATTCCCCTCTGCACACCATGTCCAGCTCTCATAGATACCCAGCTCCCACATTGACAACGCTGACCCACAGAGGCCATCTGAACACCAGGCAGTTGCCTCCCTGCCAGTCTTGGTCTGGACTGTGACGGAAATGTGCGTATGCAATCATGATTTGGTCATTAAAAATAAAGAAGTGAAAGTGTTGTTCACAACTGCCAGTCTCTGTGTGCACAAGAGAACTAGCGAGAAGCTGTCCAAGGCTGCTCAGCTAGAGATCCTGTTCGTTACAGAGGTCTCTGCCCACAGCTACTTGGTGAGAGGAGAGCAACAGTGACATCCTAGCAACTGTTGAGCCCACTGGGTCCCCGTCCACACCACACAGCCAGGCAGAAGATGCAGCTGTGGGTAAAGCACCCCATGGACCTGCCGCCCACCTCCAACCTGTCCACTAATGTCTCTTAGCCAACACACAGCAAAGTGAGAACAGAGAACACGCCAGCTGGCACAGGGCACACAGCAGAGGACTGGGCTCCTTCAACCATCTGCACCCAACTAAGGAGCACCCCTGAACCAACATTGCCCTGGAGAGCTGGACAGCAAGAGGGGAGGTATCCCACTCCACAGAACTGAGTCTCTCTCTCGGTTTGGATTCTAAGAGGAAGGTGTCACTTCTTTAAACACTAGAATCCAGATTTTCCCGAACTGTCTCTGTTGGCAGGTCAGATACCTCTAGCTGACTTCTCCCATCATGGAATGTGTGGGCTCCCCGAGCTTTCCCTGCAAGGTGGCTTCCAGTGTCAGGCCAGACTCAGTCCTAGTTTGGGCTTAGCTCCCAGCTCTGCCACCTCCCTGTGTGACCATGGGCAGGTGGCTCAGCTTCTCTGAACTTGAGCATCTTCAATGGTACAAAGAGGATCATGAACATTAGACTCTTCCACACTGGGCGGGTTATAAATTGAACAATAAAACTAGCACCCCACAATAGCGAAGCTCTGTGCATATCAGTTCTTCTATTGCTGTTGCAGTTGTTCGTCACTGCCGCCCAGGTGGCAGAGAGAAATTTAAGTCCCAAATCCGCATTCTAGAATCGGGGCAACTTCCAGACCAAACCACACCTGCTGGAAGGTCACTGAGAGGGTTGACGCAGAAGCTCAAGAACGGGCAACAGGCATCTGTCCCTCACTGAGGGACACAGGAAGTCATGACTGAGGTTTAAGAGTCATGGTACACCTGGACAACTACCGCACCCAACAGGGGACACCTGTTCCCAGCTAGCCACCTCTCATGGCCGGCCGGGGCAGGCGTGCTACTCACAGAGATGGTGCGCGAAGCGGAGGTGGAACACGTCACAGCCGTGCACGTGGTGGTACAGGGTCTTCTCGATCAGGTCCTGTGGCTCATACCCCGTCAGCTCGGTCACCCTGGAGGGAACGGTGCTCCGTGAGTTACACTGCCCTGCAGATTGCTTTTCATTTAAACTAATATTGGTTTTGTCAACTAATCAAGTGCTAAAAGGCTCAGGGGGGGAAATGTTGATTTTGGAAACTGAGAATGATCTTTTTTACGAGAAGAAAGTCTTTGAACTCTAGCCCAGTGCAGGACGTAGCACCGTTCTTGAGCAGGAATATTCTTTCAAGACCACTGACTAAAAGAATGTTTGGGATGGCTTAACATTTGTAGCCCCCTTTCAAGGTTAAAGCTTATCTGAGGACATTTCAGAGCGCACTTTGATATTGATATTGGGAGAAGGCTGCAAAGAACCTACCCTCTGGGGTCGTTTAGGGTTGGGCCTGTGTGAACCTTTTTAAAATTGTGGCAAAGAAAACAATTAAGTGAACGGTACAGTGGTATTAAGTACATTCATGTGCAACTGTTACCATGATTTGTTTCCAGAGGCTTTTTCCTTTTTTCCTGTTTAGAAATTCAGTCCCCATCCTCCCTGCCCCGCCCGCCACCAGCGCCACCATTCCACTTCCTTTGGATTGGCCATTGTAGACATCGAACATAAGTGGAATGATACGGTATGTGTCCTGTTGGACCTGGCTTCTTCCTCTTTAGCATAATGTTGGTAAGGTCCATCGATGTCACATGCATTGGAACTTCACTCCTTCTTATGGCTCAGTCATTGTCCATGTTAAGCAGATTCCACATATATGTGTCCATTGAACTGTTGTTGATGGACACTTGGGTTGTTCCCGCATCTTAGCTACCGTGTGAGTGTGCGTTTAAACTTCCGCTCCCCACTGGACACTGTCTTGGTCTCAGGTTGCTGCAGTTGAGGGATTCCTACTAATGGGAATTATGGAATAACTGGAGATACGGAAGCCTCATGTCAGCGGAGGGTTGTTTCAGATGCCCCAGAAAATAGTATAACCACCAAATATATCGTGACTAAAAGAGAAATCTTAAACTCTCTATGGAAATGTTTCCCAGTGCTCTTATGGTGACCCCTTATTATCCTACTCAAACCTCAGCTATTCATTCTCCACCTCAGCTTGTTGAAAAAGTGGCTCTCGGCATCTGAGACCACACCGTCACTAGTGCTGGGATTGCTTCCTCTGAAGGTGAAGCGTTCCATGTGGCTTCCCAGGCTTTGGGCAACCGAACTGGAGCCCTGCCCTTGGAGGAGGTGACCCTATACATCTTGGTGACAGATATTCAAGAGCAGATGAAAGAGAGGATGAGAAGGGATTCCAAAGGAGGTGAGGCAATGGTAAGAAGCCAGTCCCAAGGGACAGTGGGGGGGAGGGAGGGACTAAGGACGGCCTGGACTGGGGGCTGCCCTGCTTGCATGATTATGAAACGTTAGCTGTGAATGAAACTGGGAAACTTGACCTCACTTTCGTTCTTTAACCTGCTTCCCTGTGAGTTCGGCTTGGGCTTCAGGTTGTAAATCTTGGAAAGCCTCATGTTTCCTGGGAACTGCTTTTTGGTGTCCGCATTTCCATGGTGTTCTTCTGGGCTGGGAAGGGGACAGGGCTCAAGGTGGGGGAAAGGGGGCTTTGCAAAGTCCGGAGCCCTTCAGGGCTCAAGGGACTTGTCTAAGGCCACCTAGAACTTCAAGCCCCCCCGCCCCCAGTCTAACCCTGTGTGGCAGGAAAACTGAGACGTCTGGCTTCCCCCAGAAAAGAAAACCAGGGGATGAAAGAGGCTTCCCAGATGCTCCAAATGCAAAGTTCCAGTACAACAGCCCCAAATGTGTAAATGAATCAGAAACACATGTATTAAGTTTCTCATCAAAGTACACACTGGCTATAAAAATTAAAGGGAAGGGAAAGGGTTTGGCATGAGGCCCTCTGCTTTTGTCCAAACCTCTAGTGTCTGAAGACCTGTCAGAGGGATCGGCCAAACCCCAAACATCGCTGGATTCACCCATCCTTAGCAAAAGCACCAGCTACAGTTTCAAAGTAAAATACCACAAAACCCCTCTGAACCAAATTTCAGGTTATGCCGGGTTCAGTTGTGTCTGGGATTGAGCTGGGGCGGGGAGGGGGGAGCTGAGCACATCACCCTCACTCCTGGGACTTGGGGCTGCTGGGCCTCTGGCCAACCCTGGCTGTGGCTCCTGGGGTTTGGGCACAGAAGCTGACACCTCCTACCCTGCCCAGCCACGCTGCTGTCCCCCGTGCTGGCCAGCCCCG